TCACAATACTCAGATATTTGGGTACCCCGTTATCTTCATACAACAGACCTTATCCTGGAGCCTTTTTAAGATATTTTAGGATGTGAACGACAACATTCCAATGATCAGTATGCGGATTTTGCATAAACTGACTGACAACTCCAACGGCAAAAGATAGGTTAGGTCTGGTAATGGTGAAATAAATGAGTTTCCCAACAAGTCTTCTATATCTCTCAGGATCAGATAGTGGTTCACCCTGATCCGCCATTAATTTTTGATTTGGATCCATAGGGCTGTCTAATGGTCTACAATCAATCATGTCTGTTTCTTTCAGGATATCTAAAGCATACTTTCTTTGGGAGACTACGATGCCTTATTTTGATTGAATCACTTCAATCCCTAGAAAGTATTTAAGACAACTAAGATCCTTAGTTTGGAAGTGATTGCATAAATGTTTCTTTAGCAGAGATATTTTATCAACATCATCCCCTGTAATGACTATATCATCCACATATACAATTAAATAAACACATTTTCCTGAAGCAGTATAATAAAAAACATAATGATATGCTTCACTTCGTTTTAGTCAAAAACTTTGAACAATGTGACTAAACTTTCCAAACCAAGCACGTGGAGACTGTTCGAGACCATAGAGAGAACGATGTAACTTACAAACCAAACTAGACTCCCCCTGAGCAACAAAACCAAGAGGTTGCTCCATGTAAATTTCCTCCTCAACATCACCATGTAAGAAAACATTCTTGATATCTAACTGATGAAGAGGCCAATGTCGGATAGCTGTCATAGCAAAGAAAAGTCGAACAGTAGTCATTTTGGCCACAAGAGAAAAAGTATCACTGTAGTCAAGGCCATAGATCTGAGTGTATCCTTTTGCTACTAATCTAGCTTTAAGTCGATCAACTTCACCTTTTGCTCCAACTTTAATGGCATAGACCCAACAACAACCAATAGTCTTCTTCCCAGGTGGAAGACGAATTAAGTTCCATGTACCATTGTGCTCAAGAGCCTACATTTCATCAATCATGGCTTGTCACCATCCAGGATGATCAAGTGCCTCTTTCACATTTTTTTGGAATAGTAATAGTGGATACAGATGAGAAAAGAAAAATAGGAAGGAGACAATCTGTGGTAGCTAAGAAAATTATAAATGGGATGTGGATTACAAGTAGAGCGAGTACCTTTGCGAATGGCAATAGGCCAACTTGAGTCATCATTATCAAGAATCGTGATATCAGGGGATGATTGAGAAGGATATGCTGAGGAAGACTCATCTTGGGACATGGGACTGATCATTTGGCTCCTGTGTTGTTAGGTAATAAGAGGCAGTGATGAGAATTCCAGTGTATTTTGTGTGGAATTTTGGGTGTCAGGAGGAGGAGGTACAAATGGCTCCACTAAGGGTATAGGTAGGACATTTTGGACCGAACTAATATCCTGCATAGAAGAAGTAAAAAAGGGAGTTGATTAAAAAAAATTGACATTAGCAGACATGTAGTACCTCTTGGTTTCAGGAGAATAACATCGATATCTTTTTGAAGACGAGAATATCCCAAGAAGACACATTTGATGGCTCTAGCTGATAGTTTATCTAAACCTAGAGACATATCATGAACAAAACATACGCAACCAAATACACGAGGAGAAACATGAAAGTGTGGCTCCTTTGGCAATAGAATAGAGCGTGGAACTTTATTCTCAAGAGAAGAAGGTGACATTCTGTTAATGAGAAAACATGCAATAAGAATAGCATCTCCCCAATGATGAACAAGCATGTTTGCACCAAATAATAAGGTACGAACAGTTTCAACCAAATGTCTATTTTTTCGTTCTGCTATACCATTTTTCTGTGGTGTGTGAGGACAAGTAGACTGGTGTAAAATGCCTTGGGAACTTAAGAGAGTGAAGAAATCAGTAGAAAAGTATTATTTGGCATTATCACTTCGTAAAACTTTGATTACTTTTCCAAATTGATTTTTGATTTCGTTAAGGAAAGAGTTAAAGATAGGTAATAATTCAGAACGGTCTTTCATTAGATAAATCCAAGTACACCTAGAAAACTCATCAATGAAGGTAACAAAATATCTATAGCCAAAGGATGAGACACGACTAGGACCCCAAATATCAGAATGAACAAGAGAAGATAGAGTCACATCTAGATTCAGAACACGTTTAGGAAAAAGGACCTGGTATGTTTCCCTAGTTGACATGATTCACATTCGAAATCTTGAAGAGTCTGAAGTTCAGGAACCATTTTTTTTAATCTTGACAAGTGAGGGTGCCCTAAACGTTTGTGTAATAGTTTTGGAGACAAGGATGCAACACAAGATACAAATGATTTAGTCCCAAGGTAGTATAAGCCTCCAGATTCATGTCCTTCGCCAATCTGTCGACCCGTACCATGTTCCTGTATAACAAAAGAGTTGGCATTAAAGGTTACTGAACAATTCAATAATTTGGTTAATTGACTTAGGGAAATGAGACTGAAGGGACTTGAAGGAACAAATAGAACAAATTTTAAATTTAAAGACGGAGAAATGGAGACTTGACCAGTTCCTTTAGAGGCTACTTTAGATCCGTTGGCTAAGGTTATGAGATGAGGAGTTTTAGGAAATGAGAGAGAAGAGAACAAAGAGGTATTACCTGTGATTAGAAGCACCTGAGTCAATAATCTATAGATTTTGACTTTCCATAGATTGTGAAATGCAAGTTGTTGATGAATTTGGGGTTGTTGATGACTGTGCTACATTACTGGATTTCAACCGCAAATATTCTTGATATTCTTCGTGATAGAACTTGGGTTCAACCATTTCAGATTTGAAAAAATTGACAGTTTTGTCAAGAAAACCGTACAAAGAGTAGCAATTTTCTAGGGTATGACCCATTCTCTTGCAATAAGTGCACTTAGGACGTCCTCTACCTCCACGTCCTCCTCTAGTGCCGCGACTTCCTCTTCCATGAGTAGAAATCATAGCAGAAGATTCAACAAGTTCTTGATTATTTTTTTCTTTGAGAGTTGGAACACGAAGCAGTCTTGTAGTCAAATTTTCCATAGAAAGAACTTTTTGTCCAGTTAAAATTTGATCTTTAACATGATCAAATTCTGAATTCATAGCCCGGATAGTCATAACCATATAGAATTTATCCAACTTTTGCTCTATCTCCTCTAACAAATCCACCTCTAGGAACATCTTTAATTCTTCAAATACTGATTGAGCTTTAGCAATAAAGGTCATCATATCTTTATCCGCTTGCTTGAGAGAGACTAATCGATTAGCGGAATCATAGAGGCGTTGGATATCATTTGCAAAGATATTCTGAGTCTTTTTCCAGAAAGAGTTACATGTTTTGAAGGATCTGAGAGTGTTCAAAATATTTGGTTCTACTGATTGCCACAATAGAGTACAGAGTTGATAATCAAGTTTTTTTCACTGTTGAGCCTGATCATCTGGTATCTTACTTCCATCTTCTTCTAGATGATCGTGAAATCCTTGTCCCAGGAACCAAAGTTCCACTGAAGAGGACCAAGACATGTAATTTTTTCCATTTAATTTCTCAGCCGTTATAGTGGGAGTTCCGAAAAAAGAGGTTGTGGGCCCTGACGACATGTTTTAAATAATGTAGATGTAAGATGGAGACAATTGAACCTGTAAGAAGAACACCCAAGATAGAATTAGATAGAGAGGGAAGTATCAATTTTCACTTTGCAAGAAAACTGATGAATGGCAGCAGCGGACAACTGTAGCGGAACGGAGGTCGGAAGGTCACTGGAAGGAGGTCGAAAAGTCGTCGGACGACAGCAAAAACGTGACTGGACGGGGGGCTGACGGTTACGGGAAAGTTGTCGGAAAAGTGATCGGACGGTAGCCGAATAGTGGTCGGACGACGACCAAACGGTGGTCGGACGGCGACCGGAAAGGCAGAGCAGGACCAACCTGCTCTGATACCAAGTTAAGAGAGTAAATAAAGTTAAAAGAATATTTATATTCAGTGGGGATGCACTCCTTCACTCTATAATCTCATATATATATATATATATATATATATATATATATATATATATATATATATATATAGGATTACAACATTTAAAACAACAACTACCAACCACCAACTACTAATCACTACCTAATAATAATTATAACAGATTGAATCCTAAATAGTTTTTCTCAAGTATGATCATATTTTTTTTAATTTATCTTTAAGGGAATTTTTAGTTATTCTGTTTCAATGATTTGTATGTTGACCATTTGTTAATCAAGTTCAAGTTTATTTTGACTATAATCTACTTGTAAAATATTTCCTAGATTAAGTTTGTTATGAGCCTTGCTTTATAGTGTGTATGAAAACTATATATGGTAAGGACATAGAATATTTGATCTTATTTATCTTCTCACGGGAAGCCGCAGTCCCTCACTCTCTTCATATCCACGTAAAGACATATAAACAAAGATGTTATATGATCACAAGCATGTTGTTGCAAAATCCATTATTGGATAATAAGCATATTCTTCTTTCATAATATTTTTCATTATCTATGTAGTTCCTGTAGACTTTAAAAATAATTGGATTATGTTGTAGTACGATTTTAATACAGGACGGTAAGCAAGTTATTTTGGGCATGAAATGTTACATATCTGGCTAAATATTAGAAGTATAGTAGATATCTCGTAAAAATTATCGTTCCATAGTGGCTTATGAAATCATTTTATGGGATTATAGGTCTCTACACTAGTATGATGTATTTGGTGAAGAAAAGTGTTTACTTTTGCTTTAGATATGATGAAAATTTTCTGTCTAGTATGACATCATGGTCAACTTTTCCATGCTGAACCCAAAGATATGAAATGGATGAAATATTCATCAGCAAATCATTTTTTTGCTGGTCCAAAATGTCTTCAAGAGTAGATTAAATAGAACCTTGTTTTGGTCATTCTCTAGACTATAGATACTTAAGAAGTTGCTTAACTGTGTTGAAAGTTTTATTTTAGAAAGGGAAAAGAATGGAATTGGTATCATGGATCGTTGTCTATCGTCTTGTTAGTGTTTAGGTGGAGTTTTTCTTTATGATGGTGAATTATCTACTAATAAACATTTTGTATGTGAGTTCAACTCCCTGAATGTTTGTTTAACAGGTTGATTATCACGAATGTTTCAGAGTGTATGACAATCCCAATGTCACTGTGCACTTCAATACAGAGGCGGTGGACCTTGTAAGCAACACCAAAGGACAGATGTCTGGCATTTTAATACGGAAGGTTGATACTGGGGAGGAATCTGTGCTTGAGGCAAAAGGGCTGTTTTATGGCATAGGCCATTCGCCAAATACACAATTGTTGAAAGGCCAAGTCGAACTTGACCACTCTGGCTATGTACAAGTTGAGGACGGTACTGCAAAAACTTCAGTTGAAGGTGTATTTGCTGCTGGAGATGTGCAGGTATCCTATTCTATTGAGTGCCTTAGCTTATGTAGTTGCTTGTTCTATCGTATTATAATCAACACTAAATTGCCTAAAATAATGTAAAACTTGATATATTATAGTGTTACTCCATTTTAACAGTTGTTGACATAGCACAATATCAGATCCCTATGACTGTTAGGAAGTCCCACATGACAATCCCGCCCAATGTGCTATTTGATATTTGGGGACATAATTTTGATCTTTTTCCTCTTTTAAGTTAAGTATGATTGCTGTTAATATATAAACTGAGCATATGTTTGAATATGAACTACGCTGCAAATTCGTAGTGAATTTTATTGTTTGAATCTATCTTGTTGATTCGATGTTACCTTTTGTATGAGAAAATGCAGTAAGTAACTGTTGTAAGTATAAGGTTTAGGGTATGAGAAAATGCAGTAACTGTTGTAAGTATATATATCTTAAAGTTGTTTATTCTTATTCGAATAGGATCATGAATGGAGGCAAGCTATAACTGCTGCTGGATCTGGATGCGTTGCAGCTTTATCCGTTGAGAGATATCTCGTGAGCAAAGATCTTCTTATAGAGTTCCATCAGGTATTTGACTTCAATAAACTCTTATTTTATTTTCACTTTTTGTTCTTTTTAGCATATATAAAATTACAATCCTGAAAATCCAAATTTCAAATCACATTTCTTAGATATTGTGGAAATAAAAAATATAAATAATTATCATTATAAAATATTATTTGTTATTTACGTATAGGAATATAAGATCTTCATTTTCGTTAATTTCTTAAAATAGTTTATAAAAACGATTGTTTTCTTCAGTTTATGAAAAATAAAATTTATATGTTTCTATTTTCTACATGAATATATATTTCTTAAACTTTTATTGAATATAAATGATTTAAAAATTTTGACGTTTAATTGATATACGCATCGATAAATTATCTAAAAGTATTATTTGTAAAATAAATAAAAGTATTGATGATTCATAAATTTGGATACTAACTATATGTATTAGTGAGTATGGGTGAAGTATCGGTGAAGCAAATTGAAGTATAGGTGCTTTATTGGTAATTACTAATTATATGAAACAGACAATACATTAAATCAGTTAATGCTTGCAACTTAATCCAATGTGAACCTCAACCTTCCAATTTAATTACTTGCAACAGCCCAAAACTGAAGAGGTTAAGAAGGAACTAACAGACAGGGACGTTCAAGAGGGTTTTGACATTACACTTACAAAGCATAAGGGGCAGGTATGTGCTTTCTTATCATATGCTTATGCTAATGGGATTAAATCTTAGTATCTGTGATGGCTAATTGTTTCATTTCATATTTAATTCTGTGGTCCGTACTATAATATATTTCTGCCTTGTGATTTCCTCTATACAGTATGCTCTACGAAAATTGTACCATGAAAGTCCAAGGCTTATATGCGTATTATATACATCACCAACATGTGGTCCTTGTAGGACACTGAAGCCAATCCTTAGTAAGGTATGTGAAAAAGGGAGGATTTAAAGTTTTATGCATAATCCTGAAGTTAGATATCCTAGTACTCATGGGTATTTTTAGCCTGTGACATGATAATATGCACTTACTATAACTGCTTGATGCTTTAACAAGTATGCAGTGTCAGTATGTAACCATAATATTTTTTATATTTTAGTAAAAGAAACACTGATAGAAGAGAAAAAAGAAAGAACCACCAAGAACACAAATAAGATAAGTCCACCAGTGTCTTTGAATGTCAAAAAATAGAATCACATTAACTTTAATATTAGCCAATTGTCAAAGTGAAATGCTTATACTTCATAACCTTTATGTTAGGGTGGAGATTATATCTATAAGTGCTTATATCGAGTTTATACATGTCACTGCTCACAAGATGAGGTAGGCTTTACCATGATTTAATGAAATTTTGACCAAATAAGTAAATAATATGATTGAGATCGTCGTACAGAGAATATGAACTGGCCTCAGTAATTTTCCTTGTAGGAGAGTGCATTGAATACAGTAACTTGATTGGTCTTGTGTTATGGGTAGTTTAGGTCTCTCAAAGTTTCTGCTTGAACTACACCAACATAATTTTTAACTTGTTCATTCCCTGTCAGCATGCTAAATTGTACCTTAACAATTGTATCAATGAACCAATCTCTTAAATAAGGCTACTTTTAGTCCATCTGCATGTGAAAAAGGTTGTACGTACTTTGTCAAAATTGTTACCTATTAACATGCAATAGAATAATGGCGTGTTAAAAATCAACTTATTGTGTGCTCAACCTGCGAGTAGCCAAATTATATTACATACTGTCAATACTGATACATAAAGAAATACTGATCTGATGCGTGGGATAGGAACTAAATAATGTATTTTTTTCATATATTTCACTAAATTTATTTTCAATCTTAAACTGAATAGTGAAACTGTTTTTTATGTTTTTCTAACATCTTCCTTTACAGGTGATTGATGAATTTGATGAGAATGTACATTATGTTGAAATTGATATAGAGGAAGATCCAGAGATAGCAGAGGCAGCTGGAATAATGGGTACTCCATGTGTGCAGTACTTTAAAAATAAAGAGATGCTCAAGTTAGTAATATTTAATTTTTCCTCTTATTCTATCATGCATCATCTATATTAAATAAATATATGGTTTATATCATGGTATCCCACTACATGAACATCAACTTTTTCTATCATTAATGGGTGCGTACCGATTATTTTCCAGGACTGTCTCAGGAGTCAAAATGAAAAGTGAATACAGAGAATTCATCGAAGCAAACAAATAGTATTTTAAAACATTTGAGGTTGATCTCAAATTCTATGATTCAATTTTGTTTTCCATTTTACATTAAAACAGCTGAATAGTGCTGTCAATTTTGACAACTATTCCCTTGAACTAATCAGTAAACTTCATAGATTGTACATGTAGAGTTACATATCATTATTATTGTTTTGATTGTTTACTATTACGATTTTCATATTTGAGTTCAGCAAGCTTCAATTACTCAACATCTCTATCTTGATGAGGAATTTTGATAACTTGAAATTAAGGTATTTAATTATTACCTTTTAACCTATTATACAAGTTTTTGTTGTGTACCTACGTCAGTATTCACCTTAAATTAAGGTTATAGCGCAACAAATGTTTTCTAATTATCATTATTTTCTATTTTGTGTGCATATATTTCTAGTTAGTTTATGTTCTAAGGTTTGAAAAAAAAATGTGTTAGTTTCATAGACGACATTACAATGTCAGTTTATTTCTATTTATCATTAATTTTTTATTAATTATATATATTATAGAAAGATAGATAATAAGTTACTAAAAATAATTTTGAATTAAGTAAATATTAAGATGATAAAAATATTAATTAAAAAAATTAATAAATTTATTGAAAGTAATGAAGGTACAAGTAAATATATATATATATATATATATATATATATATATATATAACTTTTGTTTTATAAGATTAACATGATAAAAGTTATTTTTTCAAAAAAAATATAATTTTTTATTTTTATTTTATAAATGTACATAACTTCAATAACAGTATCTATAATTATTTTGTTTATTTAATACTATGTTAAAAGAAATCACATACTATTAAATGTATAAAAATATGTATGCATTTCTCTCCAATTAAAATATGTAAAGATACAATATTTTTTTAAAGTAATGAGAGGGAGATTTATGACAATGTAAAACATGTCTCTATATTCCTAATAGATGATTTTGATGATGATTCAAGTTAACAATATTCAAGAATCAAACAAGTCCAAGATATGATTTTGATAAAGACGATGATTCAAGTAAGTTCAAGATGATTCCTCAAGACTAGATTGAGTCTTAGAATACTAGATATGAATGTATGAGTTGATGAAGTAATATTATGCATAAGCCTCCAAAGCACAAGTGTGATAAAATTTCGTAACATGATATCTTTCACTGTCATAATTAATTATAATGGTAACATAATTAATTATGACAATTCAAATTTGAAAAATATATTTGTTTTGAAGAATAAATATTTTTTTATACATTCCGATTTTCTCTATGATATTATTAATGATCAACGACTATTTTCTCGATACTATTTTTTCTATTTAATTAACTTTTAATGGAAAATCAAAGACACACAATTACAGAATTTGAAAATACAATTTACATTCAATCAATTTCGAAAAAAGAATTTTGAGCAAGGCAAGAGAGATATTTTACATGTGTTTGAGAAAACCTTTTTTTCCATTGTCACAGAGATATTTTACCAAAACTCTCTTCTTCATTGTTTATTGTGCTTTCATTATTAATCACACTTGTTATTGGAAGTTAACATTCTATAGGCTTTTACAATTTGTTATCTCCATTACCCAGGTGTAACTGTTATTATTTTATTACTTTCATCTTTTATGAGTTTAAGAAGTTTAAGTTAATCAATTGTGTTATTCATCATTTGATTTATTCAAAAAAGATGTTCATCCTTTTTGTATTGGTGGCAAAGGAGGTGCTTTTTATCCCTAGTGGGATTCTAGGGAAGTGTTCATCCTTAGTGGGATTCTAAGGAAGTGTGTTCATCCTTTGATTTGTTCAGAGGAGGTGTTCATCCCTAGTGGGATTATAGGGAGGTGTTCATCCTTAGTGGGTTTCTAAGGAGGTGATTGTCTTTTGAATTAGTTTACTTTTTGCTGAATTGATTGTAACTTGTGAACTGAATTTAAAAGATAGTAAATTGGGGTCACTCTTGTGTTAAGAGTTGAAGAGTTGACTGAGAACTGGATGTAAGGTTGGCTATACCGAACCAGTATAAATCACTATGTGCTCTTCTCTTTCTCTTATCTCTTTTTCACCGTATTACTCTATTTACACCCCTTATTTTTATCTCTGTATGTCTCTATCTTATTTGATATTTTATCTCTCTCGTTATATCGTTTCTGTTTTATCTTTATTCAATTTGATAATTAAAATTAAATTAATAAATATTGAACATCTTAAAATGAATTTTTAATTTGACATATATTTTAATTTGTGCATCTATTCACCCTTCTAGATGTTATTTCTCTAGCACTTTTAATAAATTTAAATTCCTACTAGCGTGGCCATTGGCCAATCACATTGACATTTTAGTTTTACAATATATAAGAACACTAACAACTTATTAATAACAAATATAGTCTAAAGATTTAAATAATAGATTATCTAAAGTAAATTCTTTATATAATCGTTAAATATTTATTAAACAAAAATTAAATTTATGATATGTTATCGCAATGTTGAGAATTTCCCGTCAGACCAATTTTCACGGTGTAGTCCGAGACCTATTCCGACGCTTGTTTGGGGTTTTTAAACCGGTGGTTATTGATATGTTCGTTCTGTTTACTCTAAGGAGTGGTGGCCAGTGCCTGTAATATTTCACATGATGTCTAAATATAAAACAGAAAATATATAATATTAAAATAGTTGACATATTGAATCGCATACTCAATCTACTAAATAATATATTTAAAAAAAAATACTTAAATAGAATAGCTATAAGTTTAGTTATCTATATACAAAATTTAATAAAGAAAAATAAATTAATCTAATACAATTCAGTTATTTTCTTCGTATTTATTTACTTCTTGTTATTATTTTTTCTCTATTTTTTTGTTTTCTTTTGTTTTCTCTTTTTTCTTATGTTGTTCTTCTCTTACTTTATTTTATTATTTTAATTAAAAATACTATATTAAAATTTGATAAAATGAATCTTTTTTTATTTTTTAAAAATAAAAATATTTAAATTATTTAAAAATACTATAATTTAATATATTCTACTAAAAAAGTACTGATGATAGATTTTAGGTACTTGTTATGTTATAGTTATTAAAAAAATATTGATTTTAAAGTAATTTTTTTAATTATCCAATAAGATTAAGTATCTTAATTCAAATTAATTATAACTAAATTAAATTATTTTAAAAAATATATTTAATTCATAAATATTTAATATTTTTTAATTAAATGAGTAATTAATTTATTATAATAAATAATTTTAAATTAATTATTTATGTTATTATAAACAAAACTATTTATTATTATAATAAATAAAATTATTTATTTTTATTTTTATTTTAAATAATTAATTTATATTTTTGTTAGTTTTAATGTTAATTTTAAAATATTTATTTTAATATATTTTTATTAAATTTTATTTTAATAAAATGGAGAAAAGAGAAGTAAATAAAAAAAGAAAAAATATATTATAAAAGAAATAAAATTATATATAAATAATAAATAAATATGTTTAATTTTTTTAAAAATTAAAATATAATATTTATAAAATTGATTCAAGTGTATTTTCTTCGTTGATTTTAACTATTAAATAAAAAAACTGTAATATTAAAATACACTGAACGAATATGGATTCTTGGTATAACTCTATAGAAACTCATCACTAATAAACGCACGTGATATTAAGTTATGAATAAAAATACCTTTAATTTAATTAAGAGTAAAATTAATTTGTCACAATTATTATGAAATATATTTTATTTAATAATATTATCAATTTATTAAAATATACTAAATATATATTTTAGTAATTTATTAAAAAATTATTATAATTCGTGTATTTTTAAACAAAGTGTAATAAAATAAACAAATAAATTTTACTGCAATTTTTTTATATTTGATGTTATATTTTTTTTAACTAAAATTGGATGTTAATGTAATATAACAAATTAATCGCGAATGAAATTCTGTATTTTTAATATTGTACGAAAGTTTTATTACGTGTTTCTTCTAAAAAATATCTAGTGTACTACGGACTCCACTTTGAATATTAGATTCTTATATATATATATATATATATATATATATATATATATATATATATATATATATATATATATATATATATATAATTTTTGCATCATAATCCAAAAACTTATAATAGAAAATCACCTTGCTGTATAAAAATTATATTTAATTTAATTAATTACTTTTTAATTAAAATTAATTTGTTACAAATAGTATAATATCTCTATATATTTTATCAATTTATTTAAAAATATATTAAATGTTAATGTTAATAGTTTATTATTCATTTAAAAAGTATCGTAAGTCAAGATTTAAAAACTATTATTTATACATTAAGTCAACTTTTAAAAAAAGATTTTGTAAATAAAATGTATTTAAAATTTGATTTTTTATTATAAAAATTATAGTTTGTATTTCATAAATAACAAGTATTAAATACATTAAAAAAATTTGTTCGGTAACAATATTATTATTTATACCTTAGTGATGTTAAAAAAGATAGACAATATAATATTAAAATTTAACAATAAAATATTTAATAACCAAATCAATAAAACGGGTATATCACAAAGACTAATAATTAAGCTTAGTTTTTAAATATAAAAAAATAAAAAATAATGATTATATTTGTATATTATGTTTTTACTAATTCTCTATTTATCACAGTTAAATTCAATAATTTATACTCATATTCAATACAAACTTTTGTTATATGAAATTACATGTAAATTTTCATTAATTAAAAATATTTAATAAATTACATAATATTGTTAATATAATAAAGTAAAATTAAAAGTAACCAACAAAGCCTTATAAAAATTTAATAACCAAGTGATTTAAACATGAAAATTAGACTTCTCAATAAAAAAAAATGAACAATAATAAATAAAAATAAAAACACTATTGCCTCATGAAATACTTTTAGTGGGTATAATAATAGTAATCAATCTCTCACCAAATATTCAGCTCACTAGTTAGATTATTCTTGAA